AACCCTCAATCTGCAATTAATTTTCCACAACTCGCGTTTGCAAGAAATATTAACTCGTACACTACACTAATCCATACTTTAATAGTCTAATAATATCATTATTAACATACTAATTACCTTTATTAATATCATAATCATGAATATCAATATCATCATTACACTTACCACTATTACTATACGTATCATTATCATCATTATTATCATCAACATTATCATTATTACTATTACTATCACTATCATTATCATTATATTTCTTATTACTATCATTATTGCATTCATTATAATTATCATAATCACTATTACTATTGCTATTATCACCATCATCATCATGATCATTATCGTCGTCGTCATCAGTATCATTATTATCATTATCATTATCATTATCATATCATCATCATCATCGTCATCATCATCATCATCATCATCATTTCTAATAATAATGATAATAGCAATAAAAATAATAATGATAATATTATAATCATTATCGATCACAATTATTGTTATTATCATTATCATTATTATCATCATTATGATTATATTGTACATACAATTATCATTATCTATATCAATAATAAAAATAATATATCATCATCATCATTATTATCATTATACTTATTATCATTATCAATATTACTATTAATGTTTTTATTACAATTATCATTATTACCATAATTATCATTATCATTATACTGTAAATACAATTATCATTATAATTATTATCAATATTATTTATAGTAGTAGTAGTAGTAGTAGTAGTAGCAAACGTCATAGTAGCTAGTAGTAACAGTAGTAGTAGTGACAGAGTAGTAGAAGCAGTAGTAGTAGAAGTAGAAGTAGAAGTAGTAGTAGTAGTGGTGGTGGTGGTAGAGGTAGAAGTAGTAGTAGTAGTAGTAGAAATAGTAGTAGTAGTAGTAGAAATAGTAGTAGAAGTAGTAGTAGTAGAAGTAGTAGTAGTGGTGGTGGTAATAATAGTAGTAGCAGCAGCAGCAGCAGCAGCAGCATTAGTAGCAGCAGTAGTAGCAGTTGTATTAGTAGTAGAATCATTATTATTTTTACTATTATTAACATTATTATTTTTACTATTATCATTATTACTATCATCATCATCATCATTAATATCATTATCCTTGTTATCATTATAATTATCATTATTATTATTATCATTATCATTACTATTATCATCATCATCATCATCATCATCATTATTATTATCATCATCATTTTTATTATTACTATTATTATCATCAGTATCAGTAGCATTATAATTATTATCATTATCATTATTATCTTTATCACTATCATCGTTATCATTATCGTTATTTTTACTTTAATTTTTTATCATTATTATTCCCGTTCTTCCCCATATCAGTAGCATTATCATTATAATCATTATCACTATCATCGTTATCATTATCGTTATTTTTACTTTAATTTTTGTTATCATTCCACACATACTATGAAGTAACATTTAATCCTATCAGACATACATTTTCTCTTTTGTTGTTGTTGTTTTTAATGGACTTTCCCTGTTATCTTTTTACCAGCAACTATTGAACAGACGGGCAACATGCTCTTCAGCAGTAGAAAAATGATCGAGAAACCACTGGTGTGTGACTCGTGAAGTATGTGGCATCATTGCCAGTGTTGCAGATTTACCCCATGCTGCATGTACCTTTATACAATAAACAGAGAGATAAATAAACACAATAACGTCTGTACAAGTTTGGAAAAAATGACTTTTGCGTTATATGTATGAGTCAAATTACATTGATGCCAAAGCCCAGTGAGGAAGTACAGCCATAATATCAGGAAAAATAATTAACTGTAATGATTTGTTTGGAAGTAGACTCTTCGTCTGGCAGTAAAGTGGAAGTGGATTTCGATTTTACGATCTGGTAAGGACTCTTAATTTGACTCGAAACTTCATGATTTATTGCGTTTTCTTTATTCCTGTGACTGGGCTTCATTTCTTGGTCTGTTGTCTTTATTCTTTTAACGAAAAAGCTTCATTTTCCCTTCCTCATCTCTTTAAATTTGATAATGACTTTTTATAAAATGGACAACATCAGCAACTAATGACTCCCTAAAAATCGACTGAATAATATACACAAAACAAAAGTATTTCTCGGCAGCCTGGCTGACTGTCAGTACTTGGTTCAGCAACATCTACCGCTTTAGAAGCCAAGACAGATAAAAATATCGGCAACTGACAGTTAAGTACTAACATCATAAGTAACGCATCATGCCAGTCGACAGTGTGACAGGTGACGCCCCCTTACCTGAGCAGGTGGCCGTCGCGTCTGCGGGCCGGGTTCCACGGTGAGTCCTCATAGCGGTATCCCGTCTTCTTGATGAGCGGGGCGCATGAACAAGACAATTTGTTCCCCATCCTGCCCGCGGGGGATACACGGCGCTGCTGCTGCTGCTGCTGGCGGGCGTGTTAGTGCGGCGTAGGCGTAGGTGTGGGCGGCATCCTCGCGCTGCTGTGTCTACCGGGGCACCATCTGGAAGAGATAGGGATACGTTACTTTCGAAGTGCCACCTGCTAGAGACCATGAACGTATGGCTGTTAGTGTAACCAGCTGTGGCACTTAAACAGCCGTTCTCATCTGTATGAGTTTAGCGTCATGTTGCTCTCGGCTACCCATCTGTAGAAACAGCTGGATATTGATTCAAACCATCTGTAACCACCACTAAAACTCTCACAGTCAGTGTCACCTTTATTTTCCTCTCATAAAACTAATGAGGTACACATAATTATCGCCTCATTAAAAACGCTGAAGTCATGTCGTTGTTGCTGCATATCTAATGAGATTTGTGCCGTTACTGGTTTATCCTTACATGTCCACACCCAACCTAAGTTTGTAAATATATGCACACACATATGTACGGTAAACAGACAAACAAATCCATAAGAATATACGCGTACTTTTGCATACAATAAATCTTTTCAAAAGTATATATGTATTCAAACATTCATATCATGAGAGTCACAATGAAAGCCGTCAAAACACATGACACAATATACATACTCTTAGTCGATATCCCACAAAACTCCCATGACAATGCTTCATCTTTTATTCATCTGAATGGAAACCAATCACTCGCGAAACATGAATGAATGAATGAAATGAACATATCGATAAACAGATAAACAAATGAATGAACAAATGAACAAAGAAATAAACAAAGAAAACAAGCAAACCCATCAACAGATCAAAGGCCTACCATGCAAATATCCAAGACGGCGGACACAAGCACACACTGCCAGAAAGCACAGTACACCTTTACTTTCCTGCGAGGAGAGGGAGAGGAGGAGGAGGAGAAGAAGAGAGTTGGGGGGATGAGGAGGAGAAGGAAAAGGAAGGAGGAAGAGGAGGAGGAGGAGGAAAGTAGGAAAGGGTAGGAGAAGGAGGAGGAAAGAAGAAGAGTTGGAGGAGGAAAAGAAAAAGGAAGGAGAAGGAGAGTAGTAGTAGTAGTAGTAGTAGTAGTAGGAGGAGGAGGAGGAGGAAGAAGGAGAGTTGGGGATGAGGAGGAGGAGGAGGAGGAGAAGGAAAAGAAGGAGGAGGAGGAGGAGGAGGAGGGTTGGAGGAGTAGCAGGAAGTAGGAGGAGAGAGAGGAGAGAGAGGAAAGTAGGAAGGGGTAGGAGAAGAGAGGAGAGTTGGAGGAGAGTAGAAGGTTGGAGGAGAAAGAGATGGAGGAGGAAGAGGAGGAGAAAATAGGAGGGGGTAGGAGGAGGAGGAGGAAAGGAGAAGAGGAGGAAGACGAGGAGAAGGAGGAGAGGGATAGGAGGAGGGGAAGGAGAAGGAGGGGGAGAAAGAATAGGAAGAGGAGAGTAATAGGATGTTTGTATGTATTTATGTATTTACGTATACATGTATGTACGCATTGGTACATGTAACTAAGTATGTACGCATAGGTGTATGCACGTATGTATGTGTGAATATATGTATGCATATGCATATATGTATGTATATATGTGAGTGGGCTGTTGATGGATGGATGTATTTTACATATATACACACATACATACAACATGCATACACACACATACACACACACACACACACACATACACACACACACACACACACACACACACACACACACACACACACACCACACACACACACAGCACACACACACACGCACACGCACACACACACACGCGCATATATATACATATATATACACAATACATAGATAGGCAGCTAAACACAAAAATTGCACAAAATGATGGACGAAATTTCAATCCAACGCTTCAGTCTAAAAAAGAAATTCGCGAAATGACAAATCCCATGAATAAAGCGGATAACACAAACAATCACACTCTTTACACAAAATATAAAAAGGGATTAATATAATCATGATCACTCGATAATACTAATACCGTCCCTGCTAACTTGGGATGTGATCCCTCTATGTTCGCCTATGAACTCTGCAACAGAACAGAGTTGCAAAAGGATATGATAAAATGATAGAAATATGAATACGTAATTTAATATCATATGAATTCTAAATCTCATTCGTGCGACGTAAAATGTTTAATGTCATTAACACTCTAATGATGTTTTCTGTACTGACGCTAATCTGTTTTTCTGTTATTCGTATCGTCAGCTATTACTATTAATGTCATTATCGATACTATTGCCTTGGTTGTTGTAATTCATATTTTCATTTCTATCATCATACATAGATATTAGTAGTAGTAGTGTTATGTAACCTGTTTTTATTTTTTATATTAGGGTTGTGTAGTCATCTACGGTACTACTGGTGTTATCATTGCTGTTGTTATTGTTATTGTTGCCTTTATCACAATCATTGCCATCGACACTATCATTATCATTGACAATACTCTCGTTATTTTCTAGGATTTTCTATTATTGCAATCACTATCATAACAGTTATCATTTTCATTCATGGGATTATCAATACTTATATCTATGAACATTATCATTATATATGATTTTTTTCTAATTTTCAATCATATAGTACAGTGT